TCTGTATTCCCTAACCACTTGTTGAATGGGTGCTGGAGGTTGCTGACAGTTGATAGATAATTGTTCACAAAGAGCACCAAAAACCTCCTCATGATTGCTTTGGTCACAAGCAGATTCTAGCTGTTGTAGCTTGCTTGGAAGATGCCGACTTTATGCCTGCTAACTGCTACCCAAACAGTAATAAAGCTTGAAAAAGTGCAATACAAGCCAAAAATGAACAACAGTGTGAACGTTTTGAGTCACCATTGCAGCCACCATGTTTACTTTGAAGGGGAACTGTCTGTTTCCAGCTTTTGCTGCACTTTTTGACAGCAGTTGCTTTACAAACCACTCTGCCTCTTCCCTGCAAACCATGAGCAACCTCGGCAATCTGCTAACGACCAAAGCAACAGGAAGGATGTATTTAGCACAGAACTGTATGTTTCATCTAGTGACTACCAGCATACTTTAGCAACTCACAGCCAACAAATTGGGAGATAGAAATTTTTTTTCATGTGGTTGGCAGATGCTTACAGACTGGTCTCTATTGGAAATAAGTGTAATTAGGGCCCAAGAGACTAAGAAAAAAAACAAAACAACCGAACCCGAAGCACCTCTTGGACAGGCCGAGCATGCTGCTTCAGACCATGTTATTTCATTTATTCAATTAAAAATGCCTTAAAAGGCACAAATAGCACAGTTTGGACCAGACTGGCCACTCCCCACGCTTCAAGCCCTGCGGATCCTTAAAAAAACAGCAAATGGCAAGCAGGTTTTCTCAGTTTGATTCTAATACACATAAATAAGAATTAACATATTTTAACAAATAGCATATAATTGTTACAGGAGTCCATAGCTGGTCAGCACCAATGTTGAGAATATTTCAGGAAAGCTCTGATTTGTGCTGCTGGCTGCGTTACACAAAATGTCCCAGAAAAGAATCAAGACTTAGACAGAACTTCAGTGAGGTGAGGTTACACATGGCATCTGGTTCAGCAGAGGCTTTATCAGCCAAATTGCATCATGAGATAAAAATTAGTTTAGTTGGTCCCTCTGGCTGTGCCATAAGGCCTCACTGAAAGTCACAGCAGGGTTGAAGTTAGAGTTTATAGAGAAAACTGTCTTGGTTTGGAAGTGTGGTAGGAAAACGCTAGTTTTTTTCTGGAAGGTGTCCACACAGTGACACACTACTTTACAAGGGTCTTTTGAGAATGTCGTCATAGTTCTCACTCCCTTCTCTCTCTCTTTTCTTCTTCTTTTTTTATATTTTGCCGGGAGACCAGGAAAGCTTGAATGCTTGTTCTTCACAATTTGCGTCTCCCTGCAGAGTTTTTATATCACGGAGAATTACAAGTTGACAAGCTGAGCAAACAAACTTAAGTGTTACGTATGTTCCACTTCCAACTTAACTACTTCACATTAGATTGTTCTTTAGCCTTTTCTAATTCTACTGAATTGAAATGAACAGGGAAAATTTGCTAATTCCTAGCTGCGCTCCTGTCTGTGTGTCCTGCAGGTGTTTGAGAAGCTGAAGGACCACATGCTGATACCCATGTCCAACTTGGAGAAGGTCAAAGTGGATGGAGCCCTAACATGCTGCTCTGTACTCATCAACAAGAAGGCAAACATCTGAGCGGGGTTACTCGGGGTCTCTCAGTGCATGGTAACCAAGCGGAGCCTTTAACTAATCACCATGGATCCCAAGGTTTGACCATCCTGGTATACAGAGGAGGTGTAGGGAAGTTTAATGTTGCTGAGGGGCAAAGGGAGTAATCTGTCTACCCTTTCACTCCAAAACACTAAAATAAAATTAAAAGTTTGAAAGAATAGTTCAGTTGATTTAAAATACAATATGTTTGTCAAATTTTCTCCTTATTAATTCATTTGTATTTTCCAATAGCATATGCTGCTTCACTTGTATACAAGCTGTTGTCATTAATTACAAGTGTATCTGATAAAGACCTGATCCCAGATCAGATTAGTCAACCATGTGCCATGTTGAATTTCCCCTTTAACCTGCACAGCAGGTAGAACCACATTAGTAGAACCACACTTACTTACTGTCCAGTGTTTACAACTCTGAACCACACAGAACAGAGCGCTGGCGACAAACCCAGTGGGACCTGTCAGCTGTTGTCTCTGTACAGTATGGTCTTACCAACATTTGACTTCAGATGTATTAATAATTCAGCTAATTCAGACATAATTTGGGTACAAATAAAAATAATACAATTGATATGCATTGTTTATGGCCACCCTTTTAACTGTGATTTAATTTTTCTGTGTGTTTGCTTATGTAATGAATTATACACTAATTCTTCAAGAACTGTGTTTTGGAGCAAGTCCTGCTACGATGTGATATAAAATCTCAATGTGATTGTTGCAGTTACACTTTTTTTTCCTCTTGTATGTCAAATTGCTTCTGTTCTATGGTGGCCCTGAGAGGCCAAATGGACTGCAACTTAAGAAAACACCAGCAATAAGAAAAATGCTTCAAAAGCACACAAAACACAACGGAAATAGGAAAAACGAAAAAAGAAATAGCAAAAAATAGATTTCCAAAAGCACAAGGGAAGTGTTTCTGGGGAGACAATAACCCGACGGACTAGTTGCAGGAACCAAAATATGCTAAGATTGCACTGGGAGACACTTAAAAGAAGTGGAGAATCTATTGGTTTTGTGTGGAAAGAAAAGATGAGTGGTAAGTGTGTTAGCCTAACTATTAGCCTGAAAATCCGTCATCAGTATTATATGAATCATGATAAAACACGCCTTCCATGTTTTGGGTTCCTGCAACTGGTCCGTGAGGTTATTGTCTCCCCAGAAACACTTCCCTTGTGTTTTTTCCTATTTCCGTTGTCATTTTTCCTATTTCTGGTGTTTTCTTAAGTTGCAGTCCGTTTGGCCTCTCAGGGCCACCGTACTGTTCCTTTACAAGTGGTGCTAAAACAAACTTCCAAAACCATAACATTGCTTATTAATTCAAACAAATATTGTGAATTCTTATTCTGAAAATAATTCTTATTCTGAAAATACAGTTCTTAAAAAACTTGAAAAGCCTTGTGAAGATGTGAGATTCTGGTGTGATTACAGTGATTTTTTTTTTTTTTTTGCATTATAACTTGTTATTTATTAAAGCCACCCGATAGAGAAGCTACCAGTGACTGAAGATTATATATAAAGATGGATGTCACCTCCCAGACCGGTGGAAAAAGAAAACAAAAAAATTACGCATGTGTGGAAGTGCCTTAAACCTGCATTACTTATAATGGGCACCAGGGGGCGACACCTCTTGTTAAAAAAAGAAGAAAAGATCATGGATTGTATGGAAGTCTATAAGAAAATGATCCTACTTTGCATTTGTTGTATGACTTCAGAAAACATGGATGAGTTTATAGTCTCAGTTGGTGTCCGGTAAAACAATGCCGTCGTATCGGCATCAATTAGAACAATATTGCATTGTTTTAATTGATTTTAAATGATGATCTATTTAGGGTAAAACACGTAAAGGTAAAGATGAAGCAGGATATTCTTTAGCGTCCAATGTCACTTGTTTTTTGTTTTGTTTTATTTAGTCAGATCTACTTGTTGCTCGTCCAGGTTCAAAACATTAAGATGGTGATGACAAAAATGCTCCTTGCAAACCAATGTGTAGCTGTATCCATCTTTTATATACAGTCTATGGCAGTAACTGGTCAAGTGATGCTATATTGCAGTGGTTTTGTAACGTTTTGTTGATGTAAACATTGTATAAACAAAGAGGGGATGACAGACATGTAAGAAAGACTTAGAAACCCTAACCCTAACCCGACAGAGGTGGAAAATTAGTGTTTTCATTATTAAACTCTGACCTAGACTTTCATTTACTCGAACAGAACACCTCTGCTTCTTTAATCTACAGTGCCTCTCTGGAAAATCAATGACTTCAATCCTGCTGAATGATTCTGAAGGCAGTGTAGTTCTCTCACATCATTAACTGTGCCAGTGTCGTTAATTACTCTAATTTTTTCTTCCCCCCCCCGTATGGCAGTTTTCACTCCACTGTTGACTAAGATCTTGCTGGGAAACTCTGTCTGTCTCACAGAACCCAGTAGGACCAAATGTCACTGCAGTCAGAGTTTGTACTCAAATACAGAACAAGCTGTTTGCTGTGTTTCCATGTGTTGCGTCCCAGTAGGAGCTGAAAGGTTGACCTGCCTCGGTGGCCTTATTCCTGTTGTTGCTGAATTCACGTTTTTAGGGCCTGTAAACATGGCAACATAGCAGACGTAAACACATATACTGTGTTACACCGTATGCATGTTAAAGCCCATCAGATTTCAAACCATGTCGTTTCTCACCCTGATTGCAAGTGAAAGTTAAGGAAATGACATCATGAGGTGAGTCAACCTCCCTCCACAGACATTTGTGTATGGGCAAGTGGGCAGTGATGAAACATGGAAAGAATTCTTGTTGGGAGGAGAGGCTTGTACGCCAGTAAACACTGACTCTTTTAAGCTTTCTCTCTTTCTCTCAACTGTCTCCCTCTCATAGCTCGCTTTTCTCCCACCCTCTGCGATTGCCTCATAGACGATTGTGGGCTAATTTATGGCCATGATATCATACAGTCTGGCGAACGCTGTAGATGTGCCATTAAAGTGCGACAGCAGTATATTTTACAGAAGGCGGCTGGCTGGATGCGGGGTGATAGCATACAGTAGTTGCAGAGCCATTTGTGATTCTCAACCAGTGAGTGATACAGTCATACACTGTCTGATTAGTACTGTGTCAAGAGCTGGCATTATCTAAAATCATCAACCTCCCCGAGTGACACCAAAATATTCAATAAATGTCTGAATGAACGTTTAATGCAGTTCTTGCTTTTTGAAGACGGTGTTCCCAAACAGTGCAGTGATTTTGTTAAAGAATTCTTGTTCATTTTCTTGTTGGTTCCCTCGTCCGCACCAGTGGTCGTGATGTTGTGATTTCCCATCCTTCATCTCAGGTCTTAAGTACAATTTGTGAGTGATAATTATTTGAATCATCTTACATTGAGCCTTTCAATTATTTTGTGTAATAAATTAACATCTAGCTGTAATGTGTCTGTTGGTTTTTGTTTGTTTTTTATGACAGAGTTGAAGTGAAACATCCTCACCAGTTTACTCATATTACTACAAAGTTAATATTGCTTACGGGGATATCGTGTGTGTGTGAATGTATGATAAAAATACAAACTTAAGACTCGGCCAAAATCTAAATGTTCTCCCAGTTTCTGTCATGTAGTGTAGCTGCCCACATGTCTGAGAAGGACTTATTGTGACAACAGCCCACCTGCTGATCTCTACCACCACCTACTGACAGTAAAAGTATAACACACAGAAAGACAGCTTGTGCTTTGAAAAATAAAAATAAGATATCTCAAGGTAGGATACTGTAGCTGTTATTTAGGTGGAGGCAAGAAAAGCAAGAAGATGAAGTCTGACGTGAACGTTTTTGTTCTAAAAGCCTTCATAGAAAAAATTTATCGTTGTTATTTTATGGAAACACTTCTTTTAATCATCCGATAAGTCACCACTGAGCCCTAACCCTCATTTTGTATCCTTTTCACTGTACATGAAATCTCCACCACTGGAAACAAAGTACACTTCTTACGTTGTTCTTTCTTTTTAGGGGAACTTGATATAGATGTTTCTGATACTCCTTGCCACAGTGACCTTGCAGTTAAACTTACCTGCAGGCCCAGCCAGAGGCAAATATGTAAAATGTTGAGCATCTCCTGGGTTTCGCTTTGAAACATAATACCAGTCAAAGCCTAAATGGTTCAGTGACTACAGAAAATCCAAAAAGAATATAATTTTGTTAAATTTTATTGTCAAAACTGCAAAACATGAAAACAACATTGTAATGCATAATTAACACTTTTTTCAGTTATTATTGTACTTTCTTTAAAAAAGAAAAAAGAAAGGAAGTTGCAAAAATGTCTAAAAAGTAACACGTACAATCACTATACAACATTGGTAGGACAGTGAAAGGGGAAAAAACACTCGGGTGTCATCTTCACTTAGCAAAAATGTAACATTTAAGGGGAAATTTGCTTTATACAGCATACAGAAAGAATGTACATCTTCTACACCAAGGTCCAAAGCAAACTCCATTGCATTCCATTACTGCGATGTACAAAATTGTATCACAATAGTGTAAAACTCCCCCAAAAGAAATGTTAACATAACAACTTTAAATTATATGAAATATAAGCAGCTGCGGAAGACTCTCTGCTCCATAAACAGCGGCAGTGTGAATGAGCCGGAACGTGTCGCAGAGGGATCCTGTGAGCATATGGCTGAGTATAGCACAAGACTCAGAAATGATTCTTAATTGGTCACACCACTGAACGCAGTCACAGACTCATAGTCTCACCATTTTCTCTCACACAAGATAGAGATAGCCCTGCATACAATATACAATTTGACGATGGGAAGTAAGATGAAAGTCGCTGTAAAATCCTGCCAACCAAAAACTTAAACTCCAAATCTGATACCATCTGATCCTAAAAGACTACATATCAGGGCTGACCGTTGATGACGACTTTGTGGAATCGCTTCTTTACTTGGGCCAAACAATGTGTTAAGGCTCAAATAATTCATAGCTGAGCTCTGTTTTCATTTTGTAGCCTTTTTTTTTTTACAGCCAAACAGTACAAAGTGCAGAGATTACTGTACAGAAGATTTGCACTGATGGAAACAAACAAACAAACAAAAAACAAAAAAACTTGCTACACTTTTTGTTCTTCTTATGGAAAGTTAGTATAGATGTTTCCGGGACTCCTTGCAGCAGTGACCTTGCAGCTGAATTTTTCTGCAGGCTCTGCCAGAGGCAAATATGAATGGTTAAGAAGGTCACTGCATAAGCAAGGTGAGAAGCAGACGGAGCCATCAGAGCAGGAACACGTGGGAAGGTACTCATCTCCTATCTCATGGTTTCCTTTCTCTGTCACATGCTCATGTATGTAAATGTTTGCTGGTGAGCAGAGAAAGATACTGTCTTTGTTGAGAGTCACGTAGTCTGGAAAGATTTCTGTCCCCGGGCTTCCATCTACCAGTTCGCTGCTGGTGAAGCTCCCTTCTGATGACAGGAGCTCGGCGAATTCTTCTGACGGCTTCCTAAACTTGGAAACCTCTTCTTCAGACATGATCTCCACTACAGATGTAGTGTTTTCCTCAGAGCACAGCTTTTCTAGAACAGGATGATCCTATAGTGTACAGGGATTTATTTTTAATAAGGAAAAAAATGTCATTTGAAAAGTGCTTTCATTTGGAGCAAGCTTAACTTTTGTTTTTCTTACAAAAAAACAAAAAACATACTGCTATTAGTTTGATCAAAATATTTTTTGACATCTAAATGTAAAAAATGCATTTAAATCCTTGCTGACTTTGATGTGTAACACTGGTGATCAGAGCGGAATCTACGGTTACAGCCCAAAGACGAAGCAGCACTTTTCAGTGGAGAAACAAGAAGGTAGTTCATCAGGTTAGAATCACGAGGGACACGCCTCTAGTTCTCCACCATGAATTTGACTGTCAGTATAGACTTCTACTGTATTAGATACTGTGATGAGTTAAAAGATCACCATTTATTAGTATCATTTTTTT